ACAACTGCTTCAAACAATTTTTCTATCCGCTTTACCCTTGGAAGAAAGCCACACGATTTTTTTCTTTCTTTCACACACGAAAAAAAAATATATATATATATGTTACTCGTTTCTAACAACCAATCAGCTATCAGCTTCGAATCTCTCATTACCAAACATCATTTGTAGTGGAGAACTAGTTCCCCAAATGGTTTTCATGGTAACCCCAAAACGATCCTCGGTGATTGGCTGTTTCATATCGTGTAAACTTTTTTACAGTGTAAACTTTTCTGTCTTTACAGAAAACCTTTTTTGAAATGTTTTGAACGTGTAATACGACTTTTACCGAGACAACTTAGTAAAAAACAACTGACAGAGTATAACTCACAACGTGGATTTGGTCGACCGAATCTCGTGCCTCTCCATAGTTTTTTTAATTTAAGGAGAATTGAGTTTTTTATAGCATTCTGCGTGTTTGTGAATTAATTAGTTGTTGTGTGTGTGATTATGGCAAACCCTCGAGAGCTATTGCCTAAGGGGAGGGATGCCTACGTGGGGACTTTTAAGGGCAACTGGCTCGATACACGTTACACATGGGGAAAAACCACGAAAACGCCCATGCCAGCCCGTTCGCGGGATTCGAACCTCGGACCGAACTACCAGTGTTCAGCGACTTTACCGCTCGGCCGCTGGTGGGCCCATTATGTGGTTTTGAAAACGTCTCCTATTAATTACCATAATCGAAGAAATGCGCATGAAAATTGTGGACTAGCTATATTATAAATCACAGAAATTAAAATGTAAAATTATAAATTAATTGGAGATAATACTAAAATGTCAGGAAACTGTAAGCAGAAAGCTTCTGCATAGCATATGACATTAGAAACATCATTTATTATTTAAAAATGATGCAACGTTTCATAAAAATATGAACTAGATATATTTTTAATTAAACATATAAATTCTAGCAATTAGATTATCTGCGTTCAGTGTTTTTAATATTTTTTTGTTTCAAATGTACGAATATAGGTTATTAGATTTTATCATTATGATTAAATTTAGTTTTTAATGCAGGTGACAGGGTGCACGGGAAGCAGAATTAGAAGTTTTGTACAATTAGAAGTTGAATGTACAAGCTATATGGTGGTACAAAGTTTATTTTAATTAGTTATTTATTTTTATATTACTTCTGTTTTGTACTTCTATTTTTCTCAACAGTTTCATCAGAAATACGAAAAATTGGCTACGGTTTAAATAGCGAGTAGCTGTGTAAATTGTGAGAGAAAAAAAGGTTAGAAACATGTCTAAAGAGTTGTTTCCCTCTTTTTGTTTACTGTGCCACTGTCGGTAAGTGATTTCTGTCATTTCTTAGGTTTATGCTTACTTTACTATTATTTAGACTTCTGGTTGAAATGCAAAGACAGGAATCCGGCTGTAGCATAGGAAGGCTAAACGAGTAGGAAGTTAAAAGTAAATTAAATTTAACCTTACAACATTGGAAATTTTTTCTGTAATTGAATTATTGGTTTAAATGTAAATACCATGTGCATTAAACTTTATGAAGTACAGCAGGCTGCTTTGAAATGACTCGCTTTCCAATTTATATCAAGTAATCACATTGCAGAATCAATAGGAATTTTTTTTTTTTTTTTTAGCAGAAGACTTGAAAAATGTGCAGTACCTTCACCGGGATTCGAACCCTGGACTTTTCGAATACGCGTCGAGTGTGCTCCGAATTACACTACGAAGGAAGGCGGATAGGAGGGAGAAAATACCTTATTTTCTCTCCTTTTAAAGAGTTACTGGGGATGAGGGGACCTAACAGCCAAATATTGGTGATGACGAATTATTGTCCACCATCTTTTAGTTCGTGTGCCCCCTGGAGAGTCATTAGAATTTTGTTTTGAAACAGGAAACGTGAAAATGTGCAGTGAACTCGCTGGAATTCGAATCTGGATTTCGGGACGTGATTGGCAGTCGCTTTCCTGATCTGCCCCAGAATTATGCTGGCGCAAATCAGGAAATTATGGCCTGCCAGTTATTGGAGAACGCAATTTGTAGGAGGGTTCAGTGCGTATGGGCTTCCATCGCTGAGGACACCTATCCTCCCACTAACTGAAACTGTACCTCGTAGGGTTGCAGCTTACATAGCAGCGAGAGGTGGTCACACATTTTACTGATTCCTTATATATTTTAGTGCTCTATAATTTTTTTTTTATAAATGATGTCACTTATTTACGCATGCTTGCCTTGTCTGTGTAAATTGACATCACATTCTACCCTGTCTTTCATAGTGTGCATTTTCTAGCAGTGTATAACAGTAAATAAGCAATAAAAATTTTTTTAATGTGTCTTCTTTCTATTTTGAATGTTAATTTAATTTGCGTAAAAAAATTAATGTATTGTACAAATAAAACTGCTGAAAAAATTAAAAGGTGCTATATAATCGAGAATTACAGTGTTATATAATAGAGAAAAATAGCATTTTTCAATTTACTTTCGCTAATTAATAAACATAAGTTTTTTCGTAACATATAAATTGTTCTTTAAACAAACACAAAGCCCTTAGTTTATAAGTCAGCATATTTTTCGGAATTCATATCCAGATATAAAGAATAAGAAGGTTTAGAGCTGTTTTGCGAAACAAAGCATTAATATTAAAATAGCTTTATCCAAATTAAATACGTCTCTTCTAGAAAAGCGCAACAAAACAAATATAAAAGCTTACAAACGTAAAAATCTAAGAATTATGCTCATAGGATAAGCAAATGGGAAATGCAGATAAAAGTTTAATAATTACTATTCCTTGCGATTTTCTTTTCTAAAGGGATTTACTATGTGATTTGGGACTCAGGGGTTTTTTTTATTATTATTATTTTAATACTTGGCTATTTGCCAAATCAATCTGAGTTAGATTTGCTTGTATTCAAATAAAAAGTGTACAATAGAAACAAAGCCACACAAAACGTAATTAAATTACTTCGTGTATTTATCAAGAACCGTGGAACTTAATAACATTAAATCTCAAACGTTCCTCTTTTCCCTTACTACCTAAAAGCAAATTAGCACATTGGAGTAAAACCAAGACGCTTCAGATGTGGGATAATAAATGTTGTAAGGAATTTGTCTGATACGAAGAATTTAATTTCGTAGTTATTATGTTTTCATTCAAAGGGAAAAGAAAAGGTAATCTGATAAGAACAGATGCATTGCTGTACTTGGAACACACCGCAAAGTTATCCCGTAAATGATTTAAAAAATGGTTTTAAAAATCATTATACTTTGTAAAAAATTATATCAAATCTCGGCAAAGATAAATGTTCAAGTGCAAATAGTAATATTTTGTGTAATGTTTGTAGAGATATTAGGTTATTTCGAAGCAGAATACTTCAAAAATAAGCACTGCCCTCCCCGGGCTCGAACCACGGTCTTCTCAAATACGCGTCGAGCGTGTTGACCACTACAGCACGAAGGCATGCTAAGAAGGCGGGAGAAATACCGTATATACTCATACTCCCCCCTTTTAAAGGGCGAATAGGGATTAGGGGATAAATCCTGGTGATGAAGAATCATCGTTCACCACCTTTTAGTTCTGGCGCCACTGTAGGGACATTATGACTTTTTGAAAGCAGGAAAGAGGAAAAATGAGCAACACCTTCGCCGGGACTCGAACCACAGGCCTCTCGAAATACGCGCCGAGTGTGCTGACCACTATACCACGAAGGCATGCTAAGAAGGCGGGAGAAATACATTATATGTTATGTTATTATTTTATGAACAGAGTACCAAGGCTGTTGATAAATGAATAGAATCTAGTTGTTCTCTTATGTGAATCTAGTGTTTTAAATAAAACAATGCTTTCCAAGAATATAACTGAAGTTACTCCTCTTACTAATAGATTTCTAACTAAAACTAATATAAATGTTTTCAAAACTTCTATCTCTCCTCCATCTGTATCTCTAGGTATAAATGAAGACACACTGCTACATGCTGAAATGTAACCTATGGGCGCACCAGAAAGATCTGCAGATAATCTGGAGTTCCAAGAAAATAATTGTTTTTAAAACTAGACTTCTGTGTAAAAATGTAAATATTCCTACTGAAACTGGAGACTTAAAAAAGTCATCTTGTCAGATCACAATGCAGTGCATTCTGCGAAACAGTCCTTATCAAAAGTGTCTGGAGAAGCTGAATTGAATCTTGATGAAAATAACATCGAAAATGATTTTGACCCTTAAAAATATGACACGAAAATGGATGAACTTCTTAATGATGATTATTATGTCATTCAAGTAGAATGTCCAAAATTTCGGTACGATTAGGAACTCGATAATGAAGACTGGAAGCATTGGAGTGGAATACGTAAAAGTTATAATTGCGATAAAGAACAGCTTGAGAAAACGTTTCTGAAGAATCAGGTGTCCAGGTTGCAAACTTTAAAAGTGATTATGAGTGATTATGATTATATAAACGTGTGATTTTGAGACAAGAATGGAGATTTGAAATCTCTCGAGCTTCAGTGCAGTCTTATATCCGTGTAAATCATATGCAATTCATCAGCAGACTTTCAGATTCCTATGCCAACCATTGTTTGGGAGGCCATTGAATTCGATATACACATAAAAATCTTGCATATATATATAAGATATAAAACGGGAAAATAAACCACCAACTTTAATTTGCTAATAATTATTTATTGAAATTTTATGCTTCGTTTCTCGGTAGTTTAGTTACTTTCGATGGCTCTTTTAGTGATATAATATTAACATGCATAACAACTTTAGAAACATAATATTCTTCAAAGAAATTTAACTAATACAATCCTTTAAAAGATGTAAATATATGCAAGTCTTATCCTGAACAAATATTTCATAATTCGTTATTTTTCGCATGTGATATACTGTGATCACAAGATCACATAACAAAATTTATACTTCTTTTAACAACAGATAAAAAGAATGAAGAAAATTGATTAAAACTAATTGTATATGACCATTGTTCTGAAAAAATGAACCATTAAATGACACACCGCTTTGATTAAGCGGAGTTTTATTTAAGATCATATGTATACGTATAACTCATCATACACAACACAAGAATTTTAAACATTCTTACAAAAAACATTCAAAAACAAATTCAAGTAACCGATTTTGTACCGAAGTCTATAAACATATGTCAGATGATGCGAAAAGGATTGTGTCAAACATAGGATATCAAATGATGCAAAGACCGTCATCTTTGAAAACATGAAACACATTGACAAGAAGAAACATCAGTAGAGCACCAATCACTGCACCGAACTGAGTTACAGCTCCGCACCAAAAAAGAGCACGATGGCCCCAGTAATCGCCTAAAAGTACAGTCACCATCGTCTTGATATAAGAGAAGGTAAACATGAAAAATACCCAGCACAGGACCTGAAAATTAAAAGAAATATGGGCTTAATAATCTAATAGAAACACTGCCATAAAAGTGCGAATAAGAAATGTAAGAATCCAAAACCACATTTGAAACCTTCTTCCTATTATTCGTTTTTATATGTCTCAACAAATTGACAAGACGTATTCTGATATATCAAAGCAGAAAGCACAACAAACGTACATTAAACCGTCTAGCACGTTATTATGGTAATTTGTATGCTATTCTTTGTTTCTTCATTTTATTAAAAGAAGGGCAGTAAAACTCCAAATATGCGAATATCTCGGATTAGTACACTCATTCATTCGATAAGATGCGAATTATTGAAATATCTTTCTCCTGTAGCCCAGATACGTATTTAATGTATTGCAAAAGAGAATATTTTACTTATTCTTCCATTTTGTTTTACTTCCATAACGATAATACAAAAAGTATTTTATATTTGCAATGGAAAAATCGTATCTTTTTCGGTAAAATTAAAAGAAATTATTCTTATTCTTCTAAACACAAACCAGTTTTTATTTCAACCAAAACGATGAAATTAATTTTACTTACGTAGATCCCGAAACTAAAGCAATCAGAAAACATTTTAATTTTTATTTTGTCTACAGTAATATATTTATGTATGTATGCATGTATAAATTTAATTATTAATTTTTCATTTCCCGTAGATTTTCATTTACAAGCTTTATTTATACTTTTAAGTTTTACGTTTTATATATATACATATATTTTAATTTTCAGAAATAAAGAAAATATTTAATTTAATTGTACTCAATACCTCAACTAATTAAAAACTTACAGAAAGAAACATAACAAAGTTTGCCAGGGAAAAGAAATATTATTTTTTAGATGATGTGACTTCTCTTGATAAAGTAAAGAGTCTGGAAATAAAAATACAGCATTTTTTTCCATTTTATATTTTATCACGGTATATTATTTTATTTTTTCGTGCAGTTCTTTTTAACTTAGTAAATTCAATTTACAGAGCCATCATATTTAAACTGAAGAAGTTTAAAAAAAAATAAAAATGTGTGTGTGTGTGATTATGGAGAAAAAGCCTCGAGGGCTATCTGCCTAAGGGGATGGATGCCTTCGTGGAGGAATTTTTAAGGGAAACTGGCTCGTATCACGTTGCACATGAGAAAAACCACGAAAGCGCCCATGCAGCCAGCCCGCGCGAACCTCGGATCGAACTACCAGTGTTCAGCGGCTTTACCGCTCAGCCGCTGGTGGGCTTAAAAAAATTTAAATGAATAACAATTTTTTCTCTACTTGCTAATATATATTTTTCCTGTTTAGTTTGCATTTAAATTAGTTAGTTTTAATTTAATTTAATCAGTATTTGCTAAATACATCTTAGCAGCAATTTGCCTAGGGTATGTTTTTAAGTCCTTTTTACATATTTTTATAATTATTAATTTATTTATTTATAATTACGTCGATCAATTCTCAGAACTTATTTCTGTTTAATTAAAATTAAGCTAGGTTATTTTTAATTAAAATAAACTTATAAAATTAACAATATGATGCGTAAAACATTTTAAAGTAAATGTATTGTCTTTTACATCATATACATGAAGAAAAATATTTTTCATTTAAGTGTGCAGAGGTGATAAGTAGCCTAATTTCTTTTGAAAAAATGATTAATTCGCATTACAATATATGCCATATTTACGTCGATCAAATCTCGATAAATTACGTCGATCAAATCTCGATAAATTACGTCGATCAAATCTCAGAACTTTACGAACTTCTATTATAAGCTTTTATTTATTTGACTCGTGGCATTTCACTATGATTGGGATTTTGCCATTAACTTTTAACCTACCTTCTGATAAGTAATCGAGTTCATATTTTATAAAGACACCGTTGGTCGATGAAATGTGATATGGTGAAGCTGTTTTTGTTTCTTTTATTTAATTTGTAAACGAATTTTCTCACATATTTTCATTTTACGAAAAAACTAATGAAATCAGAACTTTACTGTTTGCATCTTCAGAGTACAAAAAATTGTTTAAATGAAACCTGTATGAAAATTGTTACTTAACATCTAAAATTCTGGCGAATTTTCAAAACTCGCTCGATTTGTTTCGGCTATTTAACGCCCATGATATTAAAATAACAACGTATAAAAATATATTGGATATAGAGTTTTGAAATTTGCACCGATCATAAAACAGACTTTTTGTTCTCTTTTGAAACAAGATTTGATAACAAATATTAACTGAATGATTTTAAAGCTCTTAAAAATATATATAGTTTGAAGTGTATGGGAGAAAAAAAAAGCGGCTTTCGCTGTCGTCGCTTAGAAACATACTTTCAAGGTTAAGCTGTTATGTCATGTGATTTTTATTGCTACTGCAAAAATTTCTTTCACTTACAATTCGTTTCTTTTTATTTATTTCAAAAACAGTTTAAAGACTTTTATTTATCAGTAAAAGGATTGACTGGCGTTTAAAAATATTTGCAAGGAAACCTACTCTGTCGTTTTCATTTTTTTCCATAAGTTTCATAAGTTTATATACATTTTTCTCAGCATTTCAATTTAAAACCTCATATTCTTAATTTTATTGTGATATTACATTATTTTATAAGACTTTAAAATTCTAGCATCTGAAAATATATCCACTGTAAAGATTGAATTTTTCAAATATTATAAAACAAACTTTTCGCTGCTTTTTAATACGAGAGCAATAATTTTGTTTTACTTATTTACTTGTATGATTCATATCCGTCCGCCCTATTTTCTAAATAAATCGGTTCGAATTGTCAAGCATGTTTGTGCCGATCGTTGGTCCTCCTATGCTAAAATTGCACTGTCTGAGATTTCGGGGGAAAATTATTATTTGCAAATGCTTAAGAGGATTACACTTTCTGCGATTTTCTGTAGGCGCTTCAGTTTTATATATGTTGCCGCGATTAATATACATTCAAATGTCGTGCAAATTTATAAACAACATATCTCACCAGTAATAGTCTGTTCCCAATCAAACCATGGGCAGAAGAAACAAAATTTACGTCTGGAATAGAAACTGCTACATAGTGCAAGACGCGTTTGGAAGAAAAGCGAGAAAGGCGACAAGACATGATTCTTTATGAAAGTTTTTGATGATAAACAGAAAAGACTGAAAAACAGAAGAGAAAAATGTTCAATAGAACCGACTGAACTACAGGAAAACCGATAAAAACTTTTAATAAAATGCTTTAGGGAAAAAAAACGAAAGCTGAAAAGACAATACAGTCAATTCAAAGTAGATTATGACGTCATCATTTTTATCATTCACAAACACAGAAACATCGCAAAAACATAAACACAGACTGGAAAGTGCACTGTAAGGATATTGCAAATTAGAGCAGCTATATCATTATAGTAACGGGAGACAACTCTAGGAAAACATCGACGAATATATGCGCAAAATCAATTACGCTGATATAGAAATTTTCGGAAAAAGAATAAATACATTATAATTCTGTGATAAAGCATGGGAAGAGTACATGAAATTCTGTCATAAAAGTCATCTTGCATTCTGTATACCTAACTCAGCCTCTGCTTCTTATTTACCTGATGATATACACCAGAAATCAAATTTCCTAGTGGGCTACAGATGCAAAACACACCTTAACAGTAACAAGGCAACTGCATCCCCCAAAAGCCATACTGGAATGGTTTGAATCCTAGTAATCAACTTGTAAGGGTTCGTTTAGTTTGTAACCACTTATTTTATGTTAATTTGCTTTCGTATTCCCCTCATTTCCATTTTCCTGCCAGAATGTAAAGTTCTAGCTCTCATGATATTCAAATAAGGTAGAAAGAAGATAGTATTTTAAGAATGGCTTTAGAGGGTAGATTCAGAGCTTGTTGTGCCTGCTGAAAACCACGTTGCTAATCTGATGTTCTGTTGAGAGTGGTATTCTCTACGGTGTAGTGTTACATTCGCCATTAGGCTTCTCATGCCGACTTTAGGTCACCTCCAACGTGCGCGTTACTTGCGTAGCTGTTAGGCTACCCTATTTTTACTAAGTAAATCAATTCAATTTCTTTGATTTAAGCCATAATTGCTGGTTATATTTTTAATCACAAGTGGTGCCGTCTATTAGCTTGAGTTAAATAAAGAGTCCTTTACCTCCTTTCTCAGTCTCAGTGGTTACTTTACAAGACCCAGTGATAATTCACTTCTCGTTTTCAAACGTTACGTAAATTGTATGTTTAAAAAAGTACGAAATATTATAAACTAAATGTTTTGAAACAGATTCCTCAGTTAGATTAGGGACTGTTATTGAGAATGAATTTTAAAAAGTTATAAAATGGACAGTTTTGTCAGTACGGTTTCCATAGGCAGGAGTGTTATTTGCTCAAAGCATTCAATTCAAATTTTATTGATAACATTCAAGCGAGATTAAAAAGCAGGAAATAATATACAATTTATGAAAAGGACATTTTAGCAGCCTTTTAGTTAAAAGGGTAGGATAATTAATGAAATGAAAGAAGAAAAAGTAATTTATTATACAATTTAATGAGAATAACAGATTAAATAATTCTATTCATAGAATTCATCTGCAAATTTATGTCCTGAATAGTGAAAGTACAGGGTGCCTACGGTAAATATAAAAAGATAATGGCTTACACATTTGACAATATAAACCAATTGAGAAAATTGTAAAAAATAATGGCTTATACATTTGACAATATAAATAATTTGAGAGAAAATTGTAAAAGATAATGGCTTATATATTTGCCACTGCAATTCAAGCAATGTTTCTTTATTTAAGCTCCCCGCTTTTATTATTCGTGATATAAATTCGTTGATAAATTCTGTAAAGATAATTGTTTAATCTGTTGTTCACATTAAACTACACTGGTTATCATAAATTAAGGCAAAATCACAAAAATAGCGATAACTCCCTCATAAATGTCTATGTTTGAGAGCAAGCCCACATATTTCACTGCGACAGTGACATCAGAAATCTGAGATAGCAAATTCGTAACAATGAAATC